AATCGAACCCGAATACGGACACCTTCTTTTGTCTCCATTAGAGGGTGCTCACCAATGCACTCATTATTTACCCCTTCCTTCTTCTCATACCTCCACTGACATGACTTCAAGCAATCTTCATTCCTTTATCGATAAGTATTCATCATTGTAAACAGATTGGGCGTTTCATCTGTTATCGGACTAAGAGAGACGGATTTTCACACTCTTTTCGACGTTGTTCTCATGATTGGAGGTGGAGGTGGTCCAGGATTGCCAAGGGTCATTTGAATTATTCTCATTCAATGATTGATTTTCGATTAATTACTACAGAGAAATCAGGTCTGCCCTCTGTGACCAAGACTAGGAGAGTTTGATTTATATGAGGTGAACGAGATTCTGCCCATAATTGGAGTTCAAGTTCAAGTTCAGGTTAATTTAATCCACAGAGCAGTTATTTGCTATCAGACAGGTCAAATTTGGATTTATAATATCTACAATAAAACATACAGTCTAAGTAAAGAAACGAACAAGTTTTAAAAATTCCTTCAAACTATAGGGGCAGAGGTCGAGGAGAAGCATTTTCATTTTATTTCTGAACGTATGCAGTTCATTGTTCTCAATATGTCCGATGATTCCTGAGATATCGTACATTGGGCCAATAAAAATCATTCTTTGTTAGCGTTTGATAACTATGTATTGAATTATTTTTCTTCAAACACATAGAGGAAATAACTTGTATTCTTTGAATAATTCCCGACATGAGGTGTCACTATAGGAACACTAGCAAGACGTACAATTCTTTTCTGCACAATGAAGACTTCATGAGCGACAGATGAGTTACCCCAGATGGTGATTCCATATGTCATTGGAGATTGAATTTTTCCGTGGTAAAAGAGTAGGAGCCCTCGCATGTCTAAAATTGATTTGAGAGCTGTCAATTGAAAGCATCTAGTACTCAATGTATTTGCTAGGGATCCGCAATGTAATTTGAATGATAGATGATGATCAAGTCTGACCCCTAAGAAAGTAGTGCATTCAACTATCTCTATAGTTCGATCATCTATATTTATTTCTACAACAGGAACATTCATATTCTGTCTGCTATGAAAAGTCAAGTAATTTGTTTTTGAAGCATTCAAATAAAGGGAGCTATAATATGACCATCTACAGAGTGACTGAATACTATCATCAATTTTGTTTTGATTGATTTGCCTGTGAATAATAATGTAGAATCATCTGCATATAAATAAGTGAATGCATTTGAAAGGATCAGAGGCAACTCATTGACGTACAGTGTGAACAGAATGAGCCCCAGTACTGATCCCTGAGGGACTCCAATTCCAACCGGACAACGATCGTTTTCTCCACATGATTTCTTTGATTTTCTGAGAACGTCCTTCGAAGTATGATGAAAGCCATTTATGAATTCGGCCACGGATTCCATACATGTGGATTTTTTCAAGTAAAATATCATGCTGGACGTAGTCAAAAGCACGGCTGAGATCGCAGAATATCCCAACTGCGTTTTTGCCCGCCTCCAGTGAATCTAGTATTTTTTCATAGAAGCTGTAAATAGCTGTGACAGTAGAGTAAGTAGTTGTTACATATTCAAAAACTTTCGGATAATATAGGAGTTATAGTGATTGGACGGTAATTTCCGTTTTTCAAAATAGGTGAAACAAGAGCCGTTTTCATTCTGGTGGTGAATACACTGACCTGCAATGGAAGATTTATGAGGTATGTCAGCGGTTTGACAATTGAACTCGCTATTTTTTTCATAATGAACCCTGAAATGTCATCTGGGCCACAAGTATATTTATTCTTCAATTTGTCTTTTTTATCCTCATCTTCCTCAGTTATATGAGCAATAAATATGTTATTGATTGCACTTATATTTTTATTTGACCCAATTTTATCTCTGAATACTTCATAGTTTCCCGATGGAAAACGATAACATGAAAGAATGATTATTTTTTGATTCAATTTTGTTTCCCAGATTATACTGATTATTTCAATATCTTTATCAGTGCAATAGGACGCTAAGTCAATCGGTTTGATGTTCAGTTCACTACGACAACATATACTGACTCCTCCACCCTTGAACCTATTTCTACAATAATAATTACAGAGATTGTATCCAGGGGATACAAAACTTTCTACACTTTCTTGACAGCACCAGGTTTCTGTCAGACATATAAATTTCAAATCGTCATTCACATAGTCAGAGATAATATTGTCCACTTTTGTTTGACATAGACTCTGAGTGTTCAGAAGAAGATCATAACCATCAGTTGCTACGATCTCTTCTGTATTGTATTGGGTAGGTGAAAGAATAGTTGAATTCGGGCCTCACTAGGCCATTTATTTGGATCCATATAGCCGTCTTGAAATGTTCACCATGAAAACTGACCTCAAAGGAAGGATACTTTTCAGGGTATCTTGACTGTAGTGCTGAGCATTCTACTTCTGGAAAATATAGTTTCATAAATTTTTTCAAGTCATCTTCACTCATGGTCGGTTCCACTCTTCAAATATGTAGATCGATGAATCTCGGAACTGCCTTCATCATTCGGCCATTTACTTCAATTGACGAGTTTTGCCAATGCTGAGTTCACTTCTTTGGATTGTTCTTCATCCTTCTTTTTTATTTTCATTGGATTTCTTTCTATCCATAAATGATCCTCTCGACATTTGATTCCAGAAGCCACTTCTATGAGTGCACTCGATAGTTGCTTCTTCGTTACCGTATTTTTTGAGTACACAAAATGGATAACCTACAAATTCCCAAGATATTCATATATGATTATTTGATACTTTTCAAGAATTTTTGGGAACTACTGCCTATAGATTGTCATACGACTTTCTGCCCACTGTTGACACATTCTCAGATTGGTTTTCGTCAGCTAGTTCTTCGATTCTGGATAGATTATAATCTTCATCTTCCTGTTCTGATTCAGTGGCGCTATCCTCATCATTTGAATCGATAACCAGATCTTCTTCGATAATGTATATCATAGGTTCATTCGTCATGGAATCTTCCTCAAATTCATTCGCTCTTTTGCAACGAGTTTTCCACTGCTCTGGAGAAAATTCTTTGAAAAAGATATATTTTCATTTGTAACATAGTCTTTGAGTTCGGCACGAACCAATCCGATTGAATTCAAGTCCAGATAATATGGTGGTAGTCGCACAACGTTATGATTTGCTGCTATCTTATAGATATTTATGAGATCATATAATTCAGGTTTCAGCATCGTTTTATCGAATGGAATATTCCTCTCTGATGACCATAATTGCATCTCGGCTTTTTTGGCCAATGTCGTTGGCATTTTGTCGATTTGTTTATTATGATAAGATGCATTATCGATAACCACAACGCTCTTTGGTGGCAAATTCGGAATCAACTGTTCTGACACCAATTTCTTATAACCCCATTATGATAATCACCTGTATTGCAATTCGATTTCCATCTTATGTAAGCATTAGGCACAAATTCATTTTCCCCACCTGCTTGTATAATGATTGAACATTGCCCTTTACTAACAGTTTTTTTCAGACCGTTCTCGGTATTATCACTCTAGCCTTTTTGGTGCGTGTGTGTTGTGTGTAGCATGAATATAAGTTTCCTGTTAACCTCATTCTATTCATTTCATCTCTGATTCAATTTCCCTTATGGTTCTTACGCAATACATCTGTAGCCTCTGCTACTCGTTCTTGAACCTTCAATGATATAAAATAATTATCAGTACATTTTGACTTATTTCTACCATTACTTATTACCTTCGTAAGAGGAATCCTTATTCCATCTGCCGTTGCTTCTGTCTGCATGAATCTTGAAACATTGTTGACAATTCATCTCGTTTCGTTTTTATTTTTCAAGAGAACACCCTGTATATAATTGCATTCTTGTATTCTCCCTGAGAACGTGATTCCATCAAAACATACCACTTGTGGTCAAGTGGAAATGATTACAGAGATATAGGGTGTTCATATTCGAGATTTTTCAATTTAAAGATTTTTTGTGTTGAAATTATTCATTATGGGTCAGAACGACTTGAATGTCCCTATGATTACTTTTGATTCACTATCTAGTGACATTTGAACCACCCTGTATTTGTCTGAATTAAATGTCAGTAGAGAGTAAATCAAAGGTTAAGATAGGCAATGCGAGCCGTTTTGCCCAATAATGAGTAGTTTCGACACAAAAAAATCCTCAAGTTGAAAAATCTCACCTATACCCCTGTGATCATCTCCGCTAGTCCACAAGTTTGATGAGATCCTCAAAATGCAATGATATACAGGGTGCTTCATTCAAAACAACGAAGTTCCGGTTCAACCAGAAGTGACGGCAATTGAAAATATTTTAGAAAAATTGATCACATCACGCAATGGATGTGTATTACATTTCGGATTGATGTTTTTTTCGATTATCTTCAAACATCAAATAAATCAGTTCGGTGAACGACCCTGTAGACCGTGAGGTACGTATACAGAGTGATTCGCGGTGGATGGTGCATCAATAATCGAACATTCTCTATTTATCTAGAATATCTTAATCAATGCATGCGAATGTCATAGCTTCAACGTGAGTCACCCTGTATATTCCATTTCCCCGTATAAATGTGGAGAATTGAGATTTTGAATCGACTCGTTTCAGTAAATTCCTCAGACAATGGTACTTTGGCTAGAAATGAATGTATTCAGGACTTTACGAGAGCAATGTATAGTACATATTCACAAACGGCAATAACTCCTTGAAATCAAAGATCTTTTGTGTACTATATTCCTCCCTTCAGAGCGTTGAGTTTGAGTTTGAACGCAGTGATATTCAGGAATTTTTCCTTACTGGAAATAGTATGTTACTATCTAATCTTCGTCGTTGCCTGATTTATCTTTGTTTTATGAATATGCCAACCACTGTATTCCACAAACCAGTTCAATTCGAGCTAGTTACCATGAAATTGTTGATACATTTCATTCCCTCAAGTTATTATATACAACGCAATTTCCATTTTTTTCCAGAAAAATCCGAATCCTGAATATCCCCATTTTGCAGTAGCAGAGTCTGGACGACGTCCATTGATAATTATATATGAATGGCCATCCATGAGTATCATCTGTATATTGAAGGGTGGTGCAAAGCGTCTTTATTCGAATATGGACTACAGGTGAGATATGGATCGAAGTTGCATACAATAGTGTGCGCATGTGAGGCGATTTAATAGACATCCTGAATGATATATTCCAATATTATTCACTTGCTTTACCAATTTATAGTTATTCAACCAACTATTGCATTAATGAGGGCCATTAATGATCGAGATATTTCAATGTGCGAGCAAAGCGAGCTTGTTAACAGGTCAAGTGTCGCAATGTTGAAATATTTGAGGTCTCCAGTGGCCCATCACTTTCTCCATCTAATTGCTTTACTATCTTTTTTTTTCGACTCCAAACTGATGTGTCACATATTCATGAATGGTTTTCAGACCCAAAAATGGGTTTTCGAAAGGTTGGAGTTCCGATTGACCTGTCAATTCATGTTTGCGACGTGAGTTGACATCAAAGACGTCATACGCCGCTGGTTCATTAGTATGCATATTAGCGAAAGAATGAGAAAAACTAAAAAAAATTGCGATGCGTCAGAAATATTTTGTTACTGTGAAATTTTTGTTTCATTTGAAAACTAACTGCAGTTTGTTGAAGATATTATACAACGAGAGAAATTCTGGTTTTCAGCAAAGATATTTATCACAATCTTCGCTCTTTCAATCACAGTTTCTCTGGACGCATGATTGGTTTCTCATCACTGTGGGGAAATACAAATCACGTATCTCGTAATCCTACAGAAAAATCCCAATATCGAGATGTCAGGAAACAGCTCAACAATATCACAATAATATTATAACGGCTTTATCGGCCGATGGCCGGTAAACAATCTCAACGGACGGAGACGTTAACATTAACTTTTTAATTGTCCTCTGAATACTGTTGAATCGAAATCACAGTATGGGATGACGAAATATTCATTCATGTAGGGCGTAATGTATGCTGATATGGACCGCAGCGCGTAAGTGAAATTAACACGCCTAGGTCCATAAAATCAAGGTACGCCCGAAATACATACAACATTTTATGCACGACTGTTTAGGACACTCATCACCCTGCCGAAACATTGTTAACTGAATCGCTCAGTTGGCCTTCCTTTAATACCAATAATATTAATATCGGATTTTCATTAACAACAACATAACATAATTATCCCTATTTATTTATAAAAATTTTTTATTTCAACCTAATATTTCATAATTAATTATAATACTATTCACGACAGAATAATCACAGTGATGAGATTATCCAAAGTTTCTTGTTGGGGCGATCAACTCTTATTCTAGGGCTACTACTATGAACAGTTATCTATTTGTTATAACCAATATGATATTTATTAGAAATTGTCCATTTTTATTCACAGCAAGAATGTATTAGTTATAACATGAAGATTTAGTTTAGCCACGATATTCGGACTGACTCGAGACATTTCAAGACCGATCAAAGCAAACATTCCGATTCACATCGTCCCTGCTGTCACTTTATTTCGATCTCACGAAGCTGCAAGATCAGTCTTCCTGATCATTTTTGGGCGAGATTTCGATTTTTGTCCTACCTACAAACTTCAGATCATTAGAATCAAATCTGAATTGTATATCCACACATTTATCATCCTTTGTTTTGTCTACATCTCAATTTCGTGCATGTTTCGAAAGACAATCGTTCAATCATTGCCCACTGAACATTGAAACATAATAACTTGAACATATTTGCTATATTGTTACATTGTTAATTTGTGATGCTATTCAGAGAGATGCTTGATGTCACAGATGCGTTGCGGCAATGTGCTTTTGTGCCTCTTTTGAATATAACAATGTGATGTTGATGGTAAATATTATATATAAGTATATCAGGATACACATGAAATCAATGTTACATTCATAACATATATTGAATGATACTCGGAACATCTGAACAATATTGTATATTATTATTGATATTCTGATTATTTTCTAGAAGTTTTAGGCTGATTTGATTTTTCTTAGAATCATCAAGAAAATGATCATCTGGATCTTATCTTCAGAAAATACAGAGAAGGTGATCTATATCTGAATATAACTGTGTTGATGGATTGATCTTGCCGTACTCCTGAAAGTATATATGATCCAGTTACACAGTGATATTTTGGGACAGATTGACTTCTATGTTTCAAAGTATTTTTTCAGTTATTGTGCGTCATGAATCCAGTCATACCTATGACTTCTGCATAATCCAGTGATCTCTTACGGGTCCATATGAAAGAGTTTTTGGGAGATTCCTGACGGATTTTGAAATTCTATTATTTGTTCTGTTTCTAGCTATCGATATATAACTCTTTCATCGTTTTGTAATTCGTGAAATATGGAAACAATCCACATTTACGAACCCCTCCTACTTTTTCACATATTATGGAATACAGATACAGATTGAATGTATCTCAATGTTCCAGCAGCAATTCATATTTCCATTCGGATTTGTTTCAGTCCAAGTCTTGTTTATTTCCTAACTGACATTGATAACTACGGATTATAGCTGAAAATCAATATTTTTTCTGATCACACTGATGAACCTGTTCACCATAATAGACATCAAACAAAATGGCTGGAATGGAACTGAATTTACTCTTGACAATTGACAAAATCACTTTTTCGAAAAAAAATCACCCCCCCCCTTATCCTGTTTACATGTGAGCTACTTTATAAGTTGATGAAACGGAAACGTTGCCCAAATAACATGACAACTCCGCCTGAGAAATAAATGAACAACCCAAAATCAACATATCACAAGCTTATCCAATAATATTGATTTCAATATTGATGCAACGTCTCATGAACACGTTTCACTCCATAATATTATGTTCGATACTTCAGAAGCACATTATCGCAATCTCATTTCAACAATATTGGTTCGCGGGAAAAGATGTATTTTTTTCTGTGTGTATAGAATCGAATCTATTGAATACAAATATCATAAAACTTATATCTGAAAAATATTCTTGTTGTGTATAATGTTGAGTGATTGCTGTGTTATAGTAAGTGATACCTACCCAAGAATTAGAAGACCTAGTTCCTGAGACTGGCCACTGACAATCATTTATGGTGGGAGTGTAACACGTACGAAAGAATAATCATTGATGATTCTGTTCGAAACATTCAAGAACAAAGTATAGGTCTACTTCACATTTTGGTATTGCATTATTTTTCATCAAATAACAATTGATTATATTTTTACCCCTGAACTCCTTCATTCATTCATTATAATAATTCTGAAAATCCTGTACTCTAGTCGCTAAATGAATCAAACAATTCACGACCTCGACCAGCTGACTTTTATTTCCAAGGTTGCACACGCTGCTTTCTTTCCTCAAGGCCGAGGTCTCTTCACATCTCAAGGTCACACACTCCGAAGGCCACACATGCGGATGTTACTAGTAGAACGTCCTTCAAGGTCACTTTATCTCGCCCAAAGTTAACCTCCGATCGAGGTCGCTCTGTCTAAACATCGCTATACGAGGCCATTTCTCCCAAGGTCACCATGTTCAATGTCGCTTCTGTTCAAGGTCACTCTGCCCCAGGTCGGGGGACAGTGTACTTGGAGTTGAAAAGTTTCAACTTGATTTTGGAAAAATGTTATCATTCGATAAGAATTGCGAACGGGTTTAAATGTAAAATCTTGTAGATAGTCAATACCACACTTGTCTAAGAAAATAGGTGTGAAATATTGAGGTGTTTTGTGTCAGAGGTAGAAGATGATACTATTTCAGGAGTAGATTTTTGGCGTGACGTGGACCCAGTTACATATGTTTACAAAAATATCCACTTTCAGTAGAATCATCAGATGATAGCAGAAAGAACATTCAGAAGACATGTTGGAGTACTCTTTCGGAAAAATGGGGTCAGGCTCAGATTGCGCGAAATGAATTAAACATCGTGAAACATTGAAATTAAAATATTGCAGATGAATATTAGGAGTATCCAGAAAAACTATGATGAGTTCATATCATTACTAAATCAATTCACTTCCGATTTTCAAATTATTGTTATAACAGAAACATTCAAAGTCCATGATACAAATATTTTCGAAATAGAATATGATCTCATCTATAAAAATGGTGCTTTGAACAAAAATGATGGAACTATTATGTACGTGAAAAGTGAACTTGATTATACTCATAAAATTATAAATATAGGAGAAATACGAGCCATCGAATTTCATATCATGGGCTTGAAAAATATCTATGTAACAGCTTTACATAGATCACCAAATAGTTCCCCATACATATTCAATTTTAAATTATTGGAATATCTACAGAATAGACCTAAATCTGATACACATATAATAACAGGAGATATCAATATCGTTCTCTTAGAAGAATCGGATTATATAGAAGAATATAAATAGTTATTTATTATACAAGGGAAAAAAGTTGTAGATTTTAGCTCCAGGTTGTGTTGTCTCCCGACGCGTTGCGGAGGGAGACAAAAAACCGTGAGCTAAAATCTAATATTTTTCCCGTGTATAATACACTATTTTTTGCTGTGACAGAAGGAAGGACGAATCAATATTGGGAAGATATTACATTATTTCGAAATCTGAAAATTATCGACGTGAAATTTCAAGTTTTTCACAGTAGGGACACCTGCGTTTTATAGACATCTTTATCATTCTTTTGAAGTAATCAAATATCTGATGTCACTTCTGTCAGTTCAATTCTGTGATTTGATTTTAGAAAATTGCGAATTCAGTAGTTGTTTAGTAATATACGAAACCGCGAAGTCGAATGGAAGATAAAAGGACTTGCAGTTCTTTCTCGGAGACGGTATTATTGACTTATTTTTCGGAACTATAGCACAACAAAAGCCATTAACAAAGTATATATATGTGATATATATCCGGGAAAGAAGTACTCACTTTTTTTCCACGGGAAAAAAGTAATTTATGAAAAGTGACATTTTATAACCTGCCAACAGAGATGAAATGCCAAACTTTTTTCCCGTCACAGAAAAATAGTAGATTGTTTTATTAGGATCAAAAGTGACACTTTGTTTGACAAGCGAATTTTGCATTTGCGAGGCGGAGCGTT